TCACAATTGACCTGGCTTGATAGTTAAGTTGATATTGCATAAAGTCGGCGGCAATTGGCCACTGATCCATTTGGCGGAAACCCGCTGAAGCTTTACGTATATCGGAAGGTCAGATAATCTTTGATGTTCGGACAGAACGATACTCCCATTTCTTGAGATGTAGCTGTCTATTTGATTCTCTGCATTAGATTCTTCCTTTGATTTCTGAAATTTAAACTGCAACTGCGGCGTGTTCTCTGAGAAGCGTCTCGTGTTCACTTCGTCCATCAGCAAAAAATCCTGTAAAAATTAAGCTTACTTCAATAAGTACATGACAATAAAGATATAAGAATGATTGTAGATTTAAGTTCATCATAAATTAGAAAATAACATGATAATTTACCTCTAATCGATTGAATGACACTATTGATTCACCCAGCAGTATTAGCCCTTGCGGAAAATACGACGCGACGACTAGTTGAAGTATGTTAAAGTATGTCGACATTTCATAGGTCACATCGGCAGTCAAATTATTTCCCATTAAGACGAACGTTATCAGGGTGAAATAGACGGTCAATCGTTCAGTGAATACTATGATGGCCAAATATGCGGCGCGCACATACGACGAGAATTTGATTTGCTTGATCTCCAACTTTCTGATTACTGACACAATCTGGCTGAATGGTTTCTCCCAGGCGTACATCTTCACCACCTGAACCGAGAATTATCATTTCATATATTAGTTTCATAAAATTTTTTTATAAATGGTACTTGGATGTTAATATTATATCTTTATTCATCCTCTATATCGTTTAAGAATAAAATAATTAATCAACTTCTTGAGGATACCTGTATCCCAGCTATGAGTTCGCTCATCAGATGCACTCTTCAGTCGGTCAGTGGCGCAATCATGGTTCTGAGATTCAAGAAGCTCAAAGTCCCTTGCCTTGGGAGGACGATGATTAACAATGTCCCGATGCCGACAAAACTCGAAATACCGACTTTTTGCCACATTATTGTTCCTATGATCGCAAATAAAAATAAAGTCCGGTCAGCTTGAACAGACAATTATTTAAGAGCAAGTTCGAAACAAATGAAAAGAAGAGGTCCTACGTTTTTTGTCTTTACAGTCTAAACTAACTCACGAAAATGTAAAATGTATACAAATAGCTTACATGCATGTATAATCTATAATTGGTTTTCTACGAATTATACTACAAGTATTAAAATTTATACTTATCAAGAGTCTACAAATAAGATTAATAAATTTAAGTAACTTTTTTCAAGAGTATGATCAAAGTGCTGTTTAATTACTGTGATACAATACTTTCACGAAATAAAGGATTACCGTAAAAGGCATGATCCATATGTAATTCAGGAACATTGTTAATTGATCGAAGCGAATGACATCATTGCTGAGAAGATTCATGATTTGTCCGGTACCGGTTTGGTTCATGGCTGCTGTGTTCAACCGTAATAACTACAACAGTGTTGAAAGTAATTATAAATTGAGTAATAGATCTTTTCTTTCGCTCCGTCCATGCATTTATCAATACATACAAGCACAAGATAAATTTTTCTTTGATTGATTTTTACAAAAAAGATACAAAACTCTTTATGAAAATTGTAAAAAAAATGAATAAAGCAGCTTAATATATATTAGAAATTATTCATCTAGTAATCAACCATTTATAACATCTCTGATTATGAGACACACGCGCGCGCGCACACATTGTCACACGCATATTCCTATATACGCTTATTCTTTTTTTGTATGTTATTATTATAATAGTATTTGCATAAATATGTGTATAATTTTGTAATGTTTAAGAATATAAAGTTTTTAATTATTTATATATACGTACACATATATAAATCTTTGGAATATTATAATATTTTAAAAAGTATTTGAATGCTGAACAAAGTTATTGTTCTAGAATTTCTTGCAGAATCTAACGCGTTCAAAATATAAAATAACAAGTCAATAAAACTAACTTAATCTTTTTCATTTCTGTAGTCACTTAAAGCTTTCAGAGCAAAATTTGTAATACATATTTTTTTAACATTTAATTTTTTATTTAAAAATTATAATTATTAATAATCTACAAATTGATATTATTATACTTTTTATCAGGCATAATGGTACTGTTCTTTTTGTAAATGTATAATTGCAGGTAAAATTGCAGATAATTGTGTGATCAATTATTCTCAAATAATTTCCTGTCTTTAAAGTTTGGAGATGTGTTCTAATTTAAAATCTTTTAAATTTCAATTTTTATAGCAAAATCTAAATATTTATTGTAATATTTATGTTGTAATATGCAATATTGTTTGTATTTGTAATATTAATTTCAAAAATATGACAAATGAATATTTGACCATCTTTCTCAATATAGATATGACCTTCATTGTCTATCAATAACACGTTTGCTGGTGTAATATTATTCATCGCGGACGTGTCTTTTGAGTGATCTTATCTCTTTTAAAATATAGCAGCCCGATAAAAAATTGTTTATACATAATTATGCATAAACAGTTGCACACAATTTATAACCGTTACAAATAAATTATATATTAATTTCATTGGCTCTTTGCCCTTCTTTTATACTACCTTTTGTAAATTATATATAAATTAATCATGTATAACCGTTTATATATAATTATGTACAAGAATTTTTTTACCGAGCTGCTATATTTTAAAAGAGATAAGATCACTCGAAAGACACGTCATTCCGCGATGAATATTAGCAAACGTGTTATTGATAGTCATTGAAAGTCATGCCTATAATGAGGGAGATATTAGGATAAAGTAATGATACATTTGTCATTTTGAAATTAATATTACAATTACAAATAATATTGCATATTATAATATAAATAATATAATAATATTACGAAAACAAATGTCTGGAAATTGCTATAGAAATTAAAACTTCAAAAATTTTAGATTGGAACAGTTTGAAGTTTAAAGATGAGAAATTACTTGCGAATAATTGGTTTGTTCACATTTTACCCTGCAATTTACAAAACAAATAAAAAGAACAGTGCTATTATGTATTATAAAAAGTATAATATGAATTTGTAGATCATTAATAATACTTGAGTATAAAAATTAAATATTTAATATATATATGTATGTATGTATATATACATTACAAATTTTGTTCCGAATGCTCTAAGCAATTATAGAAATAAAAAAATTCAAGTTATTTTTATGATGACTTGTTATTTTATATTTAGAATGTGTTAAATTCCACATTATTCTACATGAAATTCTAGAACAATAACTTTGTTCAGCAATACTTTCTGAAATATATTATAATATATATTCCGAAGATCTTTTGCGCTGAACACAATGTTGTTGATAGAATTTGCATAGTTTGTCAAGATTTTGTGTCAATGTGGGGATAAAATGAGCAAAAAATAACATTTTTTTTGTAATTTTAACATTTTTTATAGTAAACAATATTAAGTAAAATGAGCTGATAAGTGTTTTAACACAAACATTTATAAAATAGAAGCAAATTATTTTTAATCAAAGTGAGTCTTGATGTTAAATAATATTCATATATACAAGTGACTATACAAATACAATTATACAAATATAATTTTTTACAATAAAATAAAGAGTTGTTTTGAAATTATGTCTACGGAAACAATTATAACTTAATGAATAAATGATTCGTTCATATCCTAAAATTTATTTGAAAACTCTTGAATTGTACTTTTAGACCCGATAAACTTTATTTATTAGAAACAAGATTTTGTTTTGCTATAAAAGATAAACAGTAAAAAATGTCATATTTTGCCCATTTCATCTCAATTTACCCAAAATTCTAATTACACAAATTTTTGTGGCATTGTGTTCACCAAGAAAAAATTTTCGGGATATACATTGTACTTCAGAGAAAAAGAAAAGTGACTTTTTATCGAACGTGTAATAAGCGTATGCAAACAACTGATAATGATAAACGTGCAAGATAACAAACTCAATGCGATGCACTATTTCTTTAAGCACTAAATAAATTTTTTGCACTAAAGAAAACTTGTCAAATAATTTCTTAATTAATTACAATTAAAATCGAACATTAAAATTGATCACTTCATCAAATAATTTTAAAATTGAATCCGTAATTACACATCGATGTGAGTCCAATGTTATCTTAAATAAATATTGCATATTGATTCAACAATTCCTTTTAAAAGGAGTATACAATTATTACTTAATAAGTTAATACGAAGTAAACTTTTTCCAACTAGAAAGAAACTGTTTTCTCTTTCTAGGAAGGGTTTAATTGAACAAGTGGATTCACAAACAGAGTTGGGAAGTAATACATTACTTGTAACGTTGTTACTTTGTTTACTACGTTTTTGGTAACGATCGTTACTTTTTTCTGTCTGTAACGCTACTAACGGTAAGATTATATTTTTGCAGTAATGATAATGATTTTACTTTTATCGTTACTTTAATTTTTATTGGATGGATTGGATTGGATTATATTTCGACCGCTGACGCTTAAAGATATTTTGCTTTTATATCTCTAGAAGTTTATATCTCTAGAAGTTTAGAATATTTCTAACCACCCAAGTTGTGTCGTTGTTATAACAATAAATGAAATATTAAAAAATTTTTTTAATGCTGGTAAGTATACAAATATATATTTACAATTTAACATTGTATTATCTATAAAGATTATTAGTTGCAAATACAATTACAAAATGTTCACTTTCTCATTTTTATTTCTTAAAAAATATTTTATATTTTATATTTTAGACTGCATTCTAATAATCACTATCAGTATTGAAAATCTGTAATTCACATTACATATATTATTTTATATATTATTTTTCGGTACTGGAAGTGAATCTTAAAATACATTTTTAATAATTAATGTTTAAGAGCCATATTTAATTTAAATTCGGTAATTAGTGAGTTTAGCTCCTAACGATGTTTGATTGTTTTTGCCAGATTCGGTCGTTGTGTAAAACCTCATTGAATAAAATTAATTTTATCAATATCGTATGTGAGGGAATTAAATTCAACAATTTCTCGAAAAGTAACTATTCGTTACTTTTTCAAGTAACGTTACTTTTTATAACGAATAACTAGTGATAAAGGTAACAAGTTATTTTTTTTAATAAAAAGTAACTACTGTAACGGTAACGCGTTATTTTTTTAGGGTAACGTTTCCAACTCTGTTCACTAGTTAATTCACATTATTACCTTCCGATAGAGAAGAGAACTGCAAGCGACACGTATCCTCATACCAACATGTAACGATTGCATGATTGTGTGGTGTAACAACATAATGCCGATGGCATTGGTAATGACCAGGAAGATGATGTAGACTATCACTTCGTTCGTTGAGATTTTATGTTCTGCGTTAGGATCACTAATGAAGTACTTGATGATCCAACTTTGCAAGATTGGTACCATTACACGTACTACGCTACACTAAAAGGGAAAAGTTGAAATTTAATTCTCCCCTCTCCCTCCAAATAAATTTATAAATTTAATAAATCTGAGAAGAGCAAGCAAAAAGGAGAGAGAAAGGGAGAGATAGAGAAATCTCAGATTAATTCAGATCAATTTTTTTCTTCTTCATAAGTATTAACTAATCTAATCTAATTATATATAGGGATGCATCAGAAAAAGATTGCTGAATATCTAATTTCTGGCAATTCTTTCCGAATCTCTGATGCATCTCTAAATCCAACAAAGAATTAATGTCTAACAGAATAAATTTTTCTATTATTATTTCTTTCTCTTAGTGGAAATATCTTACACTTCTTTTCACATAAACACATTTAATCTAAATTTCGTAAATATTAATACCGCATGGTAGGTATCTCTTTTTAAAGTATACTTGGATAAATGAGCAGATTCCGATTATGAAATATGGCAACCAAAAGGTTTTGTAGACCGCCTTGTACAATTTTGGACGAGACTCCTTTTTCAGCGGCACCTTCTGCCCATTTTTTCCCACGACATATTCCAAGTTCTTTAGTTTATCCAGCTCGAGATTCCAGTATCTGGACGAAAAAAATGCATTAGGATTTTAGAAAAGCGAGTATTAAATTATTAATTTTACTTTTTAATTTTTCTTTCTTCGTATTTTGCTGCATTCTCATTTTAAAGGGTTCAAAGAATAGATAATGCAAAATAATGATGACGCAAAATAGAATAAGTATCAAAATTATACGATATATGCACATAATATAAATTGCACTTGTGTTTTTAAAACAATTGTTAAGATTCGTTTATTATTCCATTATAGCGAAAGTGAGAACTTTAATTATTACGAGCGTCACTATAATATGCATTTACTTATGTATGTTTGTTGACATCAACATGAACAATACTCACTTCTCAAGATGATCGGTCAATTTTTCAGATTCGTCTGCCTTGATTGGTCGATAAATGTCGGATTCCTCCAAATTACGCTTGAAGCTTATCATAAATAGTTCTCGCATCCACCTGTACGCATTAAAAGTAATTTATATAGATTTTACATTGATATACTTCTTTATATTACGATATAAAGTCTGTCCTGAAGCTATCTTTTTCCTTTTCTTTTTATTAATAATGAGAAATATATAATACTCGCAAACTCGAAGATTGCAGATATATATTTAAATATATATTTTGCATAAATTACATAAATTTTTAGCCGTGAATTGTAAGTACGTTAAAATATCACGAAATAATTATTTCTTCTTTTAGCATCAACATAATTATATATAATTCAAGAAAATCAAAGGCTAAGTAGATACTTTACGAACACCTTATAGATGTATTTTCCATTGTAAATTTATTTTAACAGTGAATGATTAGAAAAACCATGATTGTTTTTGTAGTCTAAGAAAAAATTAATAAATTTCCTCTTATATTTGATAATATACGTGCACGTACATATTAATAATATAAATAATAACTTAATGTGGCTCAGTTATACAAAGACATAGTTAATTTTTTAATTACTGCAAATGACAACTGATATGTAAAAAAAAAATAGATAAGAGGATGACTCGACGTAAGTTACACGTTGTTTTTGAATAGCAAGAAAATGTGCTTTTTCATTTTCTTAAAGTAAACCGTAAAATGTATTGTACATTGTGATTAAAAATAGCTAACGTAATACAAGTGAAAGTCTTCTTCATTTATCATTTTTGGAGAAATATCATTTTGCTTATAAAAAAAATTTTTTTTAAAGAAATCTCACTTTTTAAGAAAAAAAAATTTCTAATTTTTCGGAATCTCTTCTGTTTGATAAAAATTTAGATTTTTAAGAAACAATGTCTTGCATATTTTGTTCTTTCTTTCTTTTTTTCCTTTCTTTTATTGAATATATTGAATCTTGACGAACCAGAAGAATAGAACACTGAAGACATTTGCGGTCTCTTTGGGGTTTGGCTTCATGTCGCTCGTGTCTTTATCCATATTGTCGCACTATCTCACAGAAACTGATACTTCTAGCTAACAGAAAAAACGAAAACGATCAGCATTCTTATTTTCTTTCCCCTTTCTCTTTTTCTTTACCGTTTGTTCTCCTTCTCTTGCCTGCAATTTCTGGAGACAAGCTTTCCAATAGTTAATTCTTTACTGAAATCATGACTAACTGTACTGCTGCTTTTTATATTGACCTTAAACATTACAGGTAATATATGAGAAACATTAGCGATAACTGTCCCGTATGTTGTTTGTATAAATACAACTGCGTAATGCATTTGTTGTTTTTTTTTCTCAAGCACGTGTTACATTTCACGCTATTTTTCCACGTAGTTTATTTCTTTTTTCTCTTCTTTCCTATTTGTATAGTAAAATTTTTTTTAAACTTGTTCTTAAACTTAGCCATTTAACAGCTATAATTAGATAGATAACTTTTTTATTAGTAACATTATTACTTTAAACAATATTTAAAAACACAAACTTGACGACACATAAGAGATAAATAAATTAATTGTATAATAGTTATTAACATCTTATATTGTAGTCAACTAAAAATTTTTTGGGAAGACAGATTAATTCTTTGACGATAATTTAATTTAAAAAGATATAATTTTATTAAATTTCATTGCAAACATTAATTTCATTTGTATATCATAATACTTACTAAACATGTATATCTAATGAATTTGCAATGAGTTTACACAAATGTCTATTGCACATATACTTAGAAATTTCATATTATGTAGTTCGAATAACTGTATCTACTACTTGAATTACTACTTGAATCATAAGCATTTTATCCTTTTAGCAGATAAAGTTATAGGGTCACTTAGATGATATAAATATTTAGATAATACGCGAATATCTATAACAGATGTCTTTGACATTTATCTACTTTGTGATATTTACATGGATAACATTCAATAAATATTTAAGTCAATTAGGTATTCGGCAGATTTTTGTCCATATTCATAGTCTTGTACTTAAGCTCATCAATCAATGAAATAATTCGTAGAGCATCTGAAGATAAATTTAAGGAAGCTTTAACGTGTGCGATGAAACTAATGCAGAACTAATAATATTCGAAAGATTATTCCCCAATTTATCCTTAATAGGTATTAATAATTTGTTTAAGTTCAGATTATCTAATATCTTTGATAAACTAAATGAAGAAAGTAAGTAATCTCTTTCTCTCTTTCTTAATGATAATATAATCTCTTAATATGTCTACACATAGTTTTCTTTTTGTTTTAGAAAATATTTAAAAGGAAAAATCTGAGGGATCTAAATTTTGCAAATTTGCAACTATATTTTTTATACTTATAATGTTTGAAATGTAATCTGTGACGCATATTTAGTGATGAATCCTAAAATATATAAAAAATAAAGAAGCAAGTTGTGTAATTTATGATAATATTTATGTTGTATTTGTACTATATAAAGTCTCATAATCACCATACAATACTTTCATAGCATATTCTAAAGATAAAGTAAAGTAAAAAAAATCCTAATACAAAAATGTTCTGACTGCAATAATTTTTCAATGATAACTGATCAAAGATAATCAATCGACGTTTAATGCGAGGACGCTTGCTCAGAAAATTCAGGAAACGAAAAATTCAGGTTCGATCCTTGGGCTCCTATTATTGAAAAGAAACGCATACGAAAAACTAAAGTAACTCAAGAAATACTACCCCTATCGAGGGTGTCCGTTTAGCGCTACAAATTAGTGATTTCTTTTTCACGTATATCTAAATACACGTATCTAATTACATGTGTAATTAATATATTCGTGTTTCAGTCCGTGTAATTTTAAATACACGGATATTCGGTACTGACATACACGAGTATCGAAATATACAATTTGAAACATATAGCCATGTATTTCTATGGGGTACATGTGAAACGTATTCATATTTTATTTCATGTGATTATTAATGTATAACAAGATATCCGCATTTAAGTACAGCATAAATATGCGAATATTTTGTTATACATTAATAATCACACAAAACAAAATATGAATGTATTACACATGTACCAGTATATTTCAATGCATGTGTAATCGTATACTGAAATACACGAATATACATGCCTTTTAAACCATGTATTTCGATACACATATATTTGTATATTTCAGTATCAGTGTACCTGTGTATTAAAAATTACACCGATGAAATACGAATATATTAAGTACTTATATCTCCAATACACGTTCAAAACTATGATTTCTACTACAAATGCTTTAAAACTTTTGACTGACCAATCGGAAGAAAGAATTTTATTAATTAATCAATCAAAAAATGCTTAAAAGCATTTGTGACATCAAGTGGACCTTGAAAAGATCGCATATGTAAAACTAGGAAAATACTACAGTATATATATTATGTATACTATAGTATTTCCTTATACCCAATAAACATTTTGTTCCCTAATTCACTAAATTCTAATGGAATTAAATACCAAAACCAGAGTCTACTGTATCTACAATAGGCTTGCAATGTAAATCATATCTGAAAAACATATTCTTAGAAGTCAAATTTAAATCAATATCAAAGAGCAGATTTAGTAATAGCAACATAAAACAAATCTATTAGGTGTTGGAATTAATTCGTAGCGTTTTACAAGTGATGGGAAGTACTTTCATTAATGTATTTTTTAATGCTCATGTGAAATAAATAACATTCTTTCATTAAAAAACGCTACGAATTAATTCCAACACCTAATACATCAAACGCAGATCAGATCTATCGTCGAATATGCTTACAGAATGGTGTCAAATATATACAATCTAGATGTAGCTAGATATGCCAACAAAAGGATGCCAAATACATACAATTCAGTTTTACTGCCGAAATATTATTGATTAGCATCACATTCTAAAATACATATGACAAAGTTATAAAATAGTCAAAAAACATTCGGAGGCCCAGAAAACATATGTCGGAAGAGTTTGAGGATCTCCAGTGGACTTGCATATGTTTTCTTATAGAATTTCTGGATACTATCCTCATACAAGAAGCGAGTCTATCTCGTGGCGGGATTGGGTATGAAAATGACAGATCTTGTTTAATTTTTGCAGACAATTTGCTATTAGGTTTTATGTCAGCAAATTATCTTCGGCTTTTGTTGACAATTTATCGTTAAGTCAGATTAGCAAGATTTGCTCGGTTTTTATCATCAAAAGCTGTTAAATTTTCTAATTACTGATTACTTGTAAGCTCCGCTTGGCTTTAGTCGAATATGACACAACTTGGTCTCATGTTATACAATATATTGGTAGATTTTATTCCTTAATTATTTTGCCATCTCAATTTGCTGACAGCTTTGAGTACAACAAAATCTACATCAAATTTAGCGCTTTTATGTCTTCAAAGTTTGTAATAAGATTTTATAAGATTTCGACAGATTTGACTATCTGGATAGTAGACTGCATAGACCGAGCAGGATTTACATTTCCTACTCAATTTCTACTGCCAGTCTATTATCAAATTGCTCCATGCATGCAGATACTGCTCGGTTTCTGTTCTGCCAATCTGCTGGTTATACAAACAGATTCTGTCGAGAACAAAATGTGACCGCAGTTGATATCAATCTGTAATCAAATCTGCCAGTCTACCGACATTCTACATTTTGCTAACTGGATATATATACATATATTATAGATATAATAACAATCAATAGAGAAACTTGACGCTTTTATAATAATAATTTATAATAATAATACTTTCACTGACATTGATGAGGGATCACGTTCTCAAGCACATCCATTCTCTCAATCATGTTTAACTATATACATATATAGACGAAAATTTTAGTAATTATCAGGTTTCTGTAACTGTATATATATTTCTCATTGCTCCATATATGTATAGTTACTTTAAAATGAAAGTTATATATAAACTGTTGAATCCCCCCAGCAGTGAGAATGTGATCCCTATCACCATCGATTGAATACAGTTCTTATAAAAGCGACAGATTTTTCTGCTAGATTCTATACTTTTTATGTAAGATTTTCTTGGTAGAAAAAACTATAAAGCAGACTGCTCTGTGATTGTGGTATCGCTATCATTTATGAAAGTTTGTGCCAATAAGTTTAATTCATGATGATCATTATTCTTCTCGCAAGCCTTCTTCGCCTGTTCCAAAAGACTTTCCGCCATCTGATTGCCCGTCTTCTGTACCATTTGTGAAAAGTAGCCGTTCGGTTTGTCGTGCAACAGCTCGTACGGGCAACCAAATTCCTGTTGGTGTAACAATTCTGATTATCTTTCTAATTTAAATAGTAACTTCTCTCTAATTACAAAATTTTCTTAAAAATTTGTCTATATTTATTTACACACACACATACACACACACACACACACACACACACAAATAACTAAATTTGTATACATATATATTATATATAAAATATATAAAGAAAAATAAGCCAGTTTAAAAAAAGAGTGATTTAATTTTCAATTTTTAAAAATAAGATTTCACTCTTCAAAGTGAGAAAAGTTTTAGAGAAAAAAAGCCATGTTGTAAATTCTAAAAAAGAATTGTGACTTTGAAAACGTCAAATTGTTTACATGTATTTATTTATATTATACTATAATTAATCGGAATTATTATGAATAAATATTTTAAGACAGTTACATATAAAAAATTATATCTCTTCGCTATCAAAATCATTAACATATTTACATTTTTTATAAAAACGGGAAACTTACCACAATAGATCCGTTCTCCATTACGATAATCCGATCGCTGTCTATAATCGTATTCAAACGATGTGCTATTGTAATGACGGTGCATTCTTTAAAATTGCTTCTTATGGTATCCTGAATTAAGGCATCGGTGCTAAAAATAAAGATATTATCGAGCAAATTCGAAATTATGTTAAATTTTATGTTAAATAAGAAATCGTGCATTTATGACATCGTACATCTTACAAACACAAATGTTTGCTAGAAATCTGATCTTATTTAATTTGAAAAGTGTATTGTTCTTAAATTTGTTTTTCCTGAAATCTCAGATTTATTGCAAAAAAAATTTTATTGTACCCTAATGTATTATGGAAATACTTAATTATTCACAAAATTAATAATACAATGAATAATTAACAATTGAATATTTGAATTATTGATACAATAATTTATTACAGTTCATTAATGATCAATTAATCAAAATTGCTTCACAAACCCAAACAATCTTATTCAAACAATCTTACTACTAAAAAAAACGCCGAGACTCACTGCGAATCAATG